AAAAGAAATCAATGTCTTTCAGCCTTTATTTGATTTACTAGTAGGTTCTTAAAGTAAGTAAAGATTCAAATTTCAGATTTTACCCTGTTTGTCATTAAGTCCTTATGTAAAAAAAAAAAAACTCAGGAGTGAAAGGACTTAGTGACTTGTCTTTATATAAGGTTATCTTGTATTGGTGGGTTTTTTATAGATAATTGCTGTTAATATCATTCGTTTTTTATGATATTGCTATACGGTTAAATACGTATTCAATTTTTATAGAAGAATATACATTCGGTGTACGAGGATATACTTTAATTAAGGTGGCACTTTACGTAATGAGGTAATTTGCTTGCTTGTGTAAACACAATAAAATTAGTTTAAGTTGAGTTAAGGCACCATTCGACCTTCCAGCCGAAGTGGCAACCAGTTATATATCCCGGTCACTCCTGTTGGAATGAGAAGAGATAAATATTTATGAGGATTTCCAACTTTTCCTCGGGAAACTTTCAGCTTCCACACAATTTGAGATTTCAACCGAAATTTTTCGAGTAAATGGTTAACACTCCTCCATCCAACAACTGAGTCTGAATTAAAATCAAAAGCTGAGTTTATGGCAAAATAGTAGTTTCATTTGAAAAGGGTTTTAAAAAAGCATTTTTTGGTTATCTATCTGTCAACAAGATGAATTAAAGTCAAGGCCTCTCCAACCTCTCTTTCGGTTAGAAACCAAAAATGAAACCGATGCCGCGTACTTCAAAAAACGCAACGTTTCCATTACTCACGTGACGCGATGAAGTCATATGACGTAGAACTGATTAGGTCATAAATTTAAATGGCTTCCGTCTTGGATCCGGAATCAAAATCAATAGAAAAAGCTCGAACCGAAAAGACTTACGTAACCTATAGGCCATTTGCACTATGTGGTCATGTGACATCGTTTTCTGAAAATGAAAGTTATATGATTTTGCCTTGGAAAAACGATTAGTGGGTCGTATGTTAAACAAAATAATAGTGATTTGGTTTGTCAAACCCGCACCATTTTCTTAAAATGAGTAAGTTCGTAGCTGGTCACGTGACCAAAATGTGAACACAAATTTTGCACTTAAAGTTCAAGGGAAATGTTGAAAAGATGATGTGGTACCGTTTACAGCACATCTGAGCGTAACTATCAAACGTTTAACAAGATATCAGCAAAAAGTAGTTTTGGCCGCCATGTTGGAGGGCAAGAGTATGCCCTCCAACATGGCGGCCAATACAAATCATACTGCTTTGTTGAAAAATCAAAGTGCCATAAAATATCTCCCGTAAATGCATTTCCTCTCAAATTTCGGGTGTAAGATAATTTTTATGTGCTCTGTCAATTTTTGGCATCAGCAAGATTCCAACTCATCGTTTAAAGGAAGCATTGGTCACGTGACCTCTTAGTGCAACTGGCCTATTCAAGCCAGAAGATCACCTTTATTTCAGTTAATGTGCATGGATAAATTTTTATCCCTTGGCAGTAGAACAGGTCAAACTCCAGAGTATTTAGTGCACTATAAAACAAAAACTACGGAGATAAATGGTAAATCGTTTTACACTGTTTGCCAAGGATACTTTAGGAACAAAAACCATCGTCCAACTTGATTTGTACGCATCACTAGAGAGGCTAAAAAGCCGTTCAAAAGCATCGGAGGATGTGAACTTATAGAAATGTGACTGAAGGTTGTATTTGAAAATGAATCTGTTGCTGCGGCGACACGATGATATTAGAGGGATTTAAGGTTGATTTACACTGACCCGTTTTTGGCTAAGCACGTTAACGCACGTTAATTTAAATCAGGTAAATAAAATAGAGGCAAGATAAAAAGTGCTGAGCTGAGCGAGGTTCAACTCAGTTACGCTTACGAGCGACCTTTCATGCATTGCCTCTATTTTATTTGCGAACGGAAATTTTACGCACGTACGCACGTAAAAATTACGCAGCACTGGAAATCAACCTTTAGAGTCACGTTTACGGAAAACACGACAAACGTGAATTTATGCCACGTGACTAAGTTTTTTACTTCTACATAAAAATACTTGTTATTTTCATCCATGAGAATTTTTTAGACTGTTTTCATCTGCTCATTGTCTATCAGTTTTGAGAAATTCTCAATTTGAGTCTGCCGTTTGCCGTTTGCCGTAAACGTGACTCTATTAGGGCGAGAACCCCCGATATTACTACTAGGCGTCAATGTAACATTAGGGCCATTTATACGAGGAAAAATAAGAGGCGTCTTAAATAAGACGCGAACTGTACTACTTATACGAGCATTTCTTATCTAGGACGAAAACAGCTCGTATGAATGTTCGCGTCAACTTATTTCGGTTCTTGACTCGTTTTCACGTGAATGTTGCCCGTAGCAACGGCACTCCAACATAACGCGCCAAAAAATTAACGCATGCGTACTATGCGTTCGCGTCTTATGTAAGACGCAAAGGTCATTTATGACAAAGTTTTTTCTCGTCTATAGCTAAGACGTGTCTTATCTAAGAACAGGTGTTAAGGACTGTTCTAAAAAAGACGCTTCTTAGCTAAGTCGCGTCTCGTTTTAGACGAAATGTGCCGTTTATACGGAAAGTTCGCGTCTTATTTTTCCTCTTATAAATGTCCCTAATTAATAACACAGCAAATACAAAAGTTGGCATGGATGGACAAACATGAAGAAGATTAAAACAAATCGACATTGTGGGTTTTTGAAAACTTAGTAGCCTATGACAGTTTCTCAAAGTTCACTTTTCTTGTTTGTAACGTTTGATATAATGCTTGGGATATGGCATATTTGTTGGAAACGAAGCTGTACATTTGATTGTGTCGTTTACAAGTATTTTCTTCGTTACCATTAAGTTCCAAAGCGCATAAGAAAACGCAATTAGCAATATTAACAAAAAATATATGAACTAGACAGTCGTGACACAGCCCCTTTAACCCTTTAATTCCCAATATCCACATACAAATTCTCCAAAGTGATCTCCTTACATTTCCTTGAAGAATTAGTTGAGAGAATTTGGTAAAAGATCAAATATTTTTCTCTTTGTGATCATTTTGTTAATTCTCATAGACTTTGCTTATGATAGTCTATGGATATCGTTAGGAGAAAATTGCTTTTGAGCACTATTGGGACTTATAGGGTTAATACGGACACCTCATTGTTACGGACAGTTTGCTTTGTCCCTGGGGAATGAAAGCGCTTACATTTTCTCCAAATTCAATCCGCTTAATACGGACACTTCCTATGCCTCCTCAGTGTCTAACGAGGTTTGACTGTACTCCTAAGTGTTCCATGCTACAAAACCAGATTAGGTTCTGAAATTAAGAGTGTAGGCTATTTTGGTCCTTTTATATTGGAACGAGGTCGAGACGTCATCAACAGGGAAAGATTAGCCCTTAAAAAACTGAAGTCACTTTCAAATAATTTTGAAAGCCTAAATAAGAAGAGCTCTCTTCCAATTCTTTTTCATACAGTAAGGCTTTCATACAGTAACGCAGTTCCGAGGCTCGTTTGTCCCTCAAACTCCTCGTCTTGGGACCCTTGAGGAAATTAAGCGCGAAGACGCACTTTGCTAAAAACCTGTGGGGAGGGGGGAGGGAAAATGCGTCATTTGGACGAGCTATTGCGTTAGTGACCCAAAGGTTTTGACCAGTTGTAGATTGGAACATTAGTTAAAATTGGGCGGGATTTGGCACCAAAAGTGGTTCGAGCTTGTTTATTGACAGATAATAAGGGGGAGGGTCGGGTATGACCTCTGGCCTCTTTGGGCTTCTTTTGACTGAATGAAATCCAACTTGTAATCGAATACTGACATTTCTCGATCAAAAAAACGTCGAACAAACAATCGTTGTCATATCAAAAGCGAAAGTAGCTCAGCAAGAAAATCCCCGACCGGGTATCAGTTTCATCTTCTCGGAAACGGTTGGACGTAAACAAAGTCTATCATCGGTATCACGAACTGTACTCGTGCAAATCATCCGGACGGGTTTACTAAAATTAGCTACCGTTTTTTATTTCCTGTGTTTNTAGGCTATTTTGGTCCTTTTATATTGCAACGAGGTCGAGACGTCATCAACAGGGAAAGATTAGCCCTTAAAAAACTGAAGTCACTTTCAAATAATTTTGAAAGCCTAAATAAGAAGAGCTCTCTTCCAATTCTTTTTCATACAGTAAGGCTTTCATACAGTAACGCAGTTCCGAGGCTCGTTTGTCCCTCAAACTCCTCGTCTTGGGACCCTTGAGGAAATTAAGCGCGAAGACGCACTTTGCTAAAAACCTGTGGGGAGGGGGGAGGGAAAATGCGTCATTTGGACGAGCTATTGCGTTAGTGACCCAAAGGTTTTGACCAGTTGTAGATTGGAACATTAGTTAAAATTGGGCGGGATTTGGCACCAAAAGTGGTTCGAGCTCGTTTATTGACAGAAAATAAGGAGGAGGGTCGGGTATGACCTCTGGCCTCTTTGGGCTTCTTTTGACTGAATGAAATCCAACTTGTAATCGAATACTGACATTTCTCGATCAAAAAAACGTCGAACAAACAATCGTTGTCATATCAAAAGCGAAAGTAGCTCAGCAAGAAAATCCCCGACCGGGTATCAGTTTCATCTTCTCGGAAACGGTTGGACGTAAACAAAGTCTATCATCGGTATCACGAACTGTACTCGTGCAAATCATCCGGACGGGTTTACTAAAATTAGCTACCGTTTTTTATTTCCTGTGTTTAAGCTCCTAAGCTACGCAATAAAAAGCCTGAAAGTTGGTATGACGTTATACTGTTTTTCTTGCTGATATTTTTTTAAGTTAGTTTCTTGGCGCAAAGGAATGTATATGACTGTCGTGTGGTGTAAGGGGTACTGTCTCACCTGACCTACGCTATTTTTGTTGTTTTTTTTTTTCCGAGAATTCCTGTGGCGTCAGCTTTTTACCAGACGGTTGCTAGACTCTGCTCCTGCATCATTGCCCCGGATTTTTGTCGAATCTGTGAATCTGTTCGGTTGTCATGCTGGTGTAAGTGGTCATGGAAAAGAAACAAAACCAAGAAATCGGACCTCGGCTACTTCCACTTTCGTTCTGTTTTCTGATGCTAGCACTGTCAGGTATTTTATTTGGTATCTACACCTTCAGACAAATCTCCTGGCTAAAAACACAAATCCACCTACAACAAAAGGTCATCGGTACGCTGCAAAGCGGAAACGGCGCCCAGAGAGTACAGGAGGTGAGCAACTACTTATTTGACGTTCGAACTCATTTATCTGAAGCGTATTTTATTTTTAACGGCGATATCTTGTTCTAGAGAATGTTTTTTTACTTCTGACTAATAAATTTTTGCAGGCTTCATCAAATCCGGGGTCAGAGACAGCTCGAGTTCGGAGAAACGCTCCAGAAGTTTGTTCATGTCATGGTTAGTGAACTACTATTTTACTTATCAACCTTATTCCTATTCGTATTTAAAAAAAAAATCAAAAAAATATACCACAATGGCAAATCGTAAGATATAAATAGTACTTCGCAAAAGATCTTCCGAAGAGGTTTCATTTGAATGGTAACACCATAAGATTTCGTCTTCAGATTCAAAAGTTAAAATGACTATTCATCTCACTAAAACTCAGTAGGTCTCATGTCGGCCTTGGTCGATCTAAGGGCCTATTTCTGGAAAGTCCCGATAACTTTTCGGGCCTGCAATCAAATATTCAAATCAAACCCCCAGAAAATACTGAAAGAAGCGGGTCCTAGCGAACAAATCAGTCCAGTTTGTTTTGTAACTGATAAACAAAACAAAACAATCGAGATCTCAATAGAGCTCTCTCTTGAATTAAACAACAGCTTTCCGGACCCTCAGACTTTCGAGAAACGGCCCCTACGTGTGAATATCAAACTATTGAGATTTGCTTGGGTCAGAAACGGCTGTGCTCGATGTCAATGAACCAAGGTGAATTCCCCGGGGGGGGGGGTACTCCCTCGAATTTTGGATAGGGGTGTGCCGCGAAGGTTCGTGGACCCTAACCCTATTTAAGGACTAAGGAAGCGAAAACTGATACCCTTTTTAAGGCCGAAAGCCGAAAAATGACACCCCATTCAAGGAAAAAACAAAATTATTAATAGCATGGAAAGGAAAACTTTATTTCTTCACTGTAACATTGGATGTATAGCATCAAGCATAATATANGACCCATATAGCCCCTTTGGGGGGGACCCCCCCCCCCCCCCGGGTGAATTCATTTCAACTGGCACAAAACCTTGGTGGAATGTGACAGTGTGTTTTCTTAAGCCCTTCTCACTCGTATTCCTAAGTAAACCTTACTCCTTCAAAATACAAAAGGCGGTATGATATGGGGCGCGTATAACTTAGAAGAAGTCTTTCTCGCGAGTTTATTTAAAGCTGCATTGGTCTTTCACTTCAGATTAACTAGTAGTTCGTGTTAAAGTAAAAAGACGCTTTTGATGGCATGCAACAGAATGCTAGTACGCTTGACACGCGACGGAAGTGGATGTGGAATTTGGAACAGCCGCAAGAATCCTTTTTCCAAAGTTCACAAGAGCTCCTGTCTATCGATAAGGCCGTGACAAGAGGGTGTTTGTGCCGTTTACTACAGTGTGATCATGGGAGTAAACGGATCTCGGTTAGAACGCAACCAATACCATAATCTTTAAAACTCGAAAAAATACTCAGAGTATAAAGATACTCTGCACTCGTTTTAAACGAGAAGTGCGTAGCGGCTGGTACAGTACCCCTATATAAATAACCACTCTCCCAGGCTGGTCCGGTCGATTGCAAAAGCAGAAAGAGGTTTTTCCTATTGTTGTTTTGTTTTTGTTTTTTTTTCCTGTAGAAGCCATGCATGCTACACGGTTTTTAACTCCATTCTGGTTTAAAAAAAAATTTTCAGCCTTGAGATCGACGACAATGTATTTCATTCATGAAGTTAGCCATGAAGGGACTCGTATTAACCTGCTGCACTGCTTGCCTTCCTCAGACTGAGTTCCCTTTCCCATAAGTACGAAATAAGTCAAGTTATTTATCTAACTTGCACCTCTGTTCGCAAATCAACACAACCTTTTTCTCTATCCCTTAAGTTCTTTATTCAAGGTTTGAACCCAAGAGTCATTTCAAAATTTGGTTGAGTATGATCGTCCGCGTGAACGTAGTCCTGAATAGGACTACTGTTGTTGACAGTGACTGACGTTTCAACAACCTGTGAGCTAGTCATCTTCAGAGTCAAAGTTAGTTGTATCACGTCAGTTTATGGTATTTTAAAAAAAGTATGGTTAAACTGGGTTTCTCCCTACACCAGTGATCTCATTAACGTATTATATGTTATATGCCTTGTAGGACCCCCTGGTCCAAAAGGCAGAAGAGGTAAGAAAGGTGCGAGGGGTGCTACCGGCTTTCCTGGCCTCCGAGGTCCCCAAGGTGAGTATATTATAATCTTTAAGATCTGGGAACTAAGAAAACGTCTTTTCAATCAACTGATCACGTTCATGTGTCACCGATTGCATGCATGTCTAATTATAAGTTTTTTAGTTCATTGTAATCACTAAAGTTCTTCGTATATTCTAAGTAGCATAGCGCACACAGCGAACATAGAGATCAGAGAATACCGCGTCAAGTAGTCGCCTACAAGATGTTAAAAACAATAGCCGAAAATCATTCACCGTCAGGCCCAAAAAGTGGTCGCGGTCGCTTACAGGAGGTGGTCGTTTACTATAGGTTCCAACTGTAAGGCTTTGACAGGGAAAATTTTGGTGTTTCGCATTGGCGGTCGTTTATGGGAGGTGGTCGCACATGGAGGTTCGACTGTCCTTTGATGAACACCATACCAACGTCACTACAAACGTCTAGTTCCTTGGTTTCTTCCAGACTTGTGATTATCTGTACAGATCTTAATCAGGGCGTATAACTTTTTGTTATTTCTCAGGACCACCTGGCCCACCTGGATCAGTGGTGAGTAAACATGGTAACAGGCTTCCATGTTACCTTCGGGTTAAATACACCGTGAATGCTTCGATTACCTTATTGCTCTGGAACTCTTAACCAGCAAACGCAGAGGTATTTCTGGTCGTCGCTTCTTTACTTTCCAGGTGAAGAAAAGCGACGACCAGAAAACCTCTCAGCCCGACAGTTTTTCAAAGTTCATTACTGATTTTTGTAACGTTTGCTTTAATGCTTGGGGGACATATTTGTTGACACTCAAAGCTGTGATTTTGGCATCCAAGAGTATTTTCTCAAGTTCATTTGCGAACAAGGACGCGTACCTATCCCTTGTACAGACGTCCCCTTCACCGACTTTTTCTGAGGGGAGGGAGCGCTTGACACAGGCTAACGCGTACATAGCATTATAAACAAAATGAACGATCTAGCCAGCCGTGTCACAGCCCCTTAAGAAAAAAGCCTCAAATATGTGTGGTACACTGTATCTTTTGCTTTCAACATCCTGTCGTCACAAAGGTTTGTCGACGGTTCCTCAAACATCGTTGTCAGAGGTTCCTCGTCTTTAACATCCGATCCTGAGATGGGTCACTGCTTTAGGGACTGTATTTGTAGAACATGTACCTTCTGTATAATTTGGACACAATGGGGTACTATTTTGAAGAAGCGCGCTAATTTGGAGCTGGGTGCTAATTCGAAAATTAATGATATTTTCTTTTTCCTCAGACGACCGAAAGTATCCATCTGATTGGCGACGGACAAAGAATGAGAAATCCAAGTAAATCTTTGTGGTTTTAGCATGCTTTGTACATTGTATAACTAGATGATATTCCCGCAAAGAAAAGCAAGCAAGTAGGGAAATAAACACCGATAACTTTTATTCATTTATGTAAATTTCAATCACATTTTGTCACGTGAATCAAAGGGGCTTTATGGCCAATTGGCCGCTGAAAACTATTGATTCATGCTAGATACAAATAGAGTCAAAGCTTTGGGAGAAACTTTTCCTTTTTCTTCCTTTCTTTTTTTTCTACAATTATTTATATAACAGACAAGAGTCAAATTTTAGTCTCACTACTGAACAAATTATGGTTTTCGTTGCAGCCAAACCTCGCGTTTCGAACTGGGAAGTGAGGCACAAAGGAGGGAGTATTGAGTACCACTCGGACACTGGTCAAATTGTGGTGAAGAAGACTGGCTACTATTTCATATACAGCCAAATGTTTTACTATGATGGTACCGCACTTCAAATGGGTCATTACACCTACATAAACCACGACAAAGTTCTTGAAAGTCTGGGGAGCGTTGTTAGCGACCTGCGCAAGTACAATACGAAATATCACGGCGGAGTGTTCTTAGTTCGAGCGAATGACACTGTCTCAGTTCATATCCCATACGTCAAAGTTTATCAGATGGATAGAGAGGGAAGCTTTTTTGGCGCATTTTTGGTCCACGAATAGAATGGCCATTCAACACATTAAAGTAGCGGAAATTTAACCTGACTTAAAAAAAACTGACAGGCTATTCATTTATGTGATTTAACGACATAAACAATTAAAATTCTATCACTTCAAGAAAATCAATTTATAAAATTACGTTATTGAATAATTTGCTTTTTTGATATTCGGTCCTGCGTTAAGAAGTGATGGTTCGATGCTTGGCCTTAAACTTGAAACATAAGAGCTAGTACACGCCACAAAGGTTAAAACTTTCAAAATTTATTGAATAATACAGTCGAGCCTCTTCACAACGGCCACCTTGGGGACAGAAGAAAGTGGCCGTTGTGGAGAGGTGGTAGTTATGGGGGGTGCAAAGAGATAATATGACAAATTTTTTAAAGGGTGTACAACATGTTTATTATGCTTAGTTCGTGCTTACTGTATCTCATAATGGTAATATCCAATCATACTTATATAGAGATAAAATACACGTTAAACTTGACTAAAGTTTTGAATTAGAATGTTAACGGGACAAAACGAGAACCGTTCGCAACATTCGCCATAAGTATCGTATGTATGCTTACTGCCTCAGCAGTATAAATGGCACAAAAGCAAATTACGATTGCCGCGATTGATCATTAACGCGCCATACGGAGCAAATTTCAGGACCGGCATTCTAGCCTTTTTCATCAGTCTCTGAAAAAAACTGGACGTTGTCGACAGGTTAGTTTGGCAGTTGGGATATACTTTGGTAGCCGTTACGGTTGTAGAGAGGATTAAACCAGGGACAATGCATGAACTGTCCGCCAGGACCAAAAAAAAAGTTGGCTGTTGTAGAGAGGTGGTCGTTAGTGGAGGTTCGACTGTACTTTGAAGACAAGTTAAAACAGGCAAAATAGAAAATGGTAGAGACGTTATCTAGTAAAATCACGAAATAAAAACTAGGTATCAATCAATATTTTTCAAATATCACTTGACTGTTCGTTGGCGGCCTTTGCCCGGCCTTTACAACACTGGATAGATACGAGGCTAGCCGCACT